ACGAGCACAACCAGTTGTTGAAAATATTCAAATCACATATGCACCAATTACAAAGCGATAATCACGCTATCGTCATTAATCCTGATAAAACACCAGCTGGAGAGAATATTCGTATTTTCAATGCACCCGTTGTTGATGACGTTGCTGGAATCATGGTTGGCGATTCTACAGCTGCACGAGAAATTGTGATTCGTAGAAGAAATAATTATCTTCAGTTCATTGCTGACACACATCGTTCATATGACGCTCTCCAATATCCGCTTATATTCTGGAAGGGACAAGACGGATATTGCATAAACATAATAAAACGAAAGCCCGTATCAGGTACTTCATTGATTATTAATTTGATCATTAATAATTCAGCAAAACAATTAAATTATAGAACCTAATAAATTTAAATTAATTTTTATGAACAAATATTGCAGGAGCTGAAACAAACAAGAACGTTAGCTTAAAGGAATATTATGCGTACCGATTAATGATTAGACGTGGCCTGGACAACGTCATTTTACGATGTCGTGAGCTTTGTCAACAATTCATGGTCGACATGTAAGCGAAGAGTGAGAGCGAACGACTACGATACTTACGATATAATCAACAAAAGCTACGCGCGGAAGAGTACATTCATTTGCGAGACGCTATCAATACAACGCCGACGTCGCCGAAATTGGTAACCATGTCATTTTACCATCATCGTACGTAGGCAGTCCACGTCATATACAAGAATATATACAGGATGCTCTGACTTTCGTGCGCGAATATGGACGACCATGTTTATTTATCACGTTCACATGTAATCCAAAATGGCCTGAGATTACATCTTTGCTACTGCCTGGCCAAAATGCAATATGTACATCGCCATGACATTACAGCACGTGATTTCAGACAAAAGTGGAAGTCTTTAAGTTTCATTACTAAATCATATGTATTCGGTTCCTCACGTTGGTGGATGTATTCGGTTGAGTGGCAAAAGAGAAGATTACCTCATGCACACATTTTCGTTTGAAGAAATCGATAGGATCATTTCAACCAACTTGATATTGTTAACACAAACATGATTCATGGTCCATGTGGTGCTCTTAATAGTTCATCGCCTTGCCTGGCTGATGGAAAATGTACTAAAAAATTCCCTAAAGATTTTACCAATGATACGATCACAAATGTCGACGGATACTCAATATATCGTCGAAGAAATCCTGAAAATGTCGGACAATCATTTACTAAAAATATCATCAACACAGATATTGATATCGACAATCGTTGGGTGGTGCCATATTCGCCTCTGCTGAGCAGACATATAATGCTCATATTAATGTTGAGTTCTGCAGTTCTGTGAAGA